TATAGGTCAGTACAAAAACGAGTATCGACGGAAGAATCGAAGAGTTCTAAGAGTGTTCGACTACCGGAAAAAAAAGGAAAAAAGAAAATGCTGTGGTAAGTTCTAAAAATAAATCAACAGACATTTTTGGCTGGAGGCATACGAGCTAGGGTTAAGCTATGATGCTCGAAAATCTTCGCGCATACCTGCATTGCAAGTATTGTTTCATTGAGGAGAGGCGCTGGCTGATCCTCTCACTGTCTATCTCCCTTTCCCTCTCTCTTTTATTAAACCTTTAATTTATCTCGTTTAACTGGATTTTCAACTACCCAAGACGAATTTCCCAAGGATAACAAGAAGCAGACACAAGAAAATAGGCAACAAAGAAATACTTAGTGAAAGGGAGGAAGTTAGACTATGTAAATGTGAAACAAGGGAAGGGGGATGGAAAACAAAAGCCGTAGTAGAGCAGGCCGCTCTTAACCAGACTGTTTACCACAAACTTCCTTCACCTTGCTTTGCGATCCGAGCCGCTGCATCATTATCGTCATCTTGCAAAGAGGGGGCGGGAGGGGTTCACAGCATGCGAGTCCCGATAGGACCTCGTTTCCCTTCATGCTTATGTCTCCTCAATGAATTTGTGGTTTATTTACGACACGAAATTACCTTGTATGTTTTCTCTCCATTTGTTTCTTACTTTTCTCGCATTTTCTTTGTGTTTTATCTTTTACTTGGGCTCTAATTTCTTGTCGTTACTGGTATTAGAAGGCTCTTGTTATGCTGTTCCATGTTGGCCCCACGACTCATCTCAGTCAATAGTATGCTAAACGAATTTCTCTTTTCTTCTATCACGACCTTCAGTCACTTCATGTTCTGTACTGTTATTTATTATTATTAGATTTATTCACAGTGTTTCACTTCCACGATGAATCACTGTGCTATTCTTGTAATGCTTGCCTTTAGGTTTGTTCGTTTCCTGTCTTTACACATGATAAACATAGCAATGCCTTTCTTTTTTCGGTCCTCATTTCTCTCCACCTATGTTTTATGTTTTACCAATTAGTTGGTCATTTCCATCCCTTATTTATCATCGCAATTTGATAGTATACTACTCTTCAGACAGTATACCATTAACTGTTCCCCCGATATTTAGGAAAAGCCTCTTTTACACCCACTGATGAAAATAATCCACGCTGTTGCTTTCATCCACAAACGAAAAAAAAACAAATGCAAAGAAAGGGACGTACACAATAGTGTGTAATGCTGAAATGAACAGAACTAATGCAAGTGGCGAATAGCAATCTACGGGAGAATACAGGCCTTTCATCTTAAACATACTCCTTGTTTCGTAAAGAAGTGTTTCCTGTATTTACGCTTCCTCTCATATATTGTTCCTGATATTACACTTGCTCTTGAAGAGAAAGGGTTGTTTTAGGCGAACGAGAAAGCATTTATTTGAACAGAACTGCCGAAATAAATATTGGCATCATTTGGTGTCTGTCTGTCTGTCTCTCTCTGTATTTACATATATAGACGGGTGGATAGATAGAGATTGATGGAGAAACAGATAGACAGAGATATAGATAAATAGATAGGTAATTAGATAGATAGAAAAACAGATAGATGTTGAGATGACCAACAAACATTTTACAGAAGTCTGAATTCATTTGATTCAATCTTACCTGTTGAGATTTTATCAGCTCCATTGAAAGGTTCCCCCCAAAAATCACTGCCTACAAATCTCTCTTTAGGGCGAATGATAGTCTTCGAAAAGATGATTACGTATAAAGGCGGTTATGAGTTATGTGTTCTGCGCTAAAGAGCAATAGATCATTCCTTAATCATAATGGCGAGCTCTCTCTTTGATAAGTGATCGAAGGAGGTGAAACCGCTTTAGCACTACGGCCGCATCGTGTCTTTTTTTTGCGAATAAAAGAGACAGAAAGAAAAAAAACCCTCTTCTGTGGTAAAAAATGTTTTTGATAGTCATCCCTAAAAATAAGTTTCCGAGGTGGCTAAGCAGATGTTTTTAATTTAATTTAATTTGATTTGACATGCATTCTCCATACGCACATATATGTATGTATCCGTTCTATATTTGTAATACAGCCATGTGCAACTCATTTCTGCACACATTTAGTCATTATGATCGTTCAAATTTGGAGCAAAGTTTTCGCCGAAAAAATAGACTTCGTTATAACTAAAACAAAATTTCAGTTGCGTTCACTTTATTCCAGTCCGTCTATAATAAAAAGGAAAAATAAAACATGACCTGGGCCAAGATGTCACAAGCTTTTTTCCTTTAAGATTATCACTTTTTATTTGAAAAGATAATGCTCACTTTTTCATCCAAGAAACGTTCTTACCATCTTTAATTCTTCATCTCCTTCTGTTCCTTTTTACACGAGATTATGGCAACAGAGGAATGCAAAGCGACCGTGCACGTGTCTTGCAACGACCCGTGACTTCCGGATGTTGCGAGAAGAGACCCAAGGTTTCCTGCGCCGAGGAAGGAGGGAATAAAAGTCCAGATCAGTTTATGGCCCCGCTTTCTTTAGACTGGCAACAATGCCACGGCGTATTTTTCTTCTCTTTCCTTTTTTTTTCTTGAAATGTGGTGACGTCATCCACCGCCGCCTTTTCTTTGTGACAAAAAACAAATCGCTTTTGCGCTCGCCGTGGCATGACTAAGGTCTGCCGTGCTGCGTCGCGAACAACGGAAAGGGTGATTCGATCTTCGTTTTTTTTTAGGCAAGGCGATGTTTATGTGTTCTTAAACATTCTTATCCGTGGGTACGTGTGCTTATATGCATATGAACTTTTTTGTGGGCGATTTCCATTTTACGCAGAAAAAAGATGGGGAAAACGATGTGTTCACTTTCGAATGATGTCTGGCAGTGGTATCTTTATATATATATATTTTTGTAAAACAACAAGAATGAATTGTGTAACGTTTTTGTAAACTATGTTTAATACTATGAAGAGAAACGTGCCAAGGTCCAAAAAACAACAACAACTTAAAATTGACTGATTTACACTGCTGAGTGCATGTAAACAACACTTTATTACAAGTGACGTTAATAAATACAGATCTTGGAGTTCCTTAGGTAACAAGTACTAAAAAACATAAAGGGGAAGGAAACTAAGCAGGAAATGTACGTGACCAATTCCGATAAAAAAAAAAGTTTAATGAATCATTAAATACACAATCTGGGTCGACCTTCACGCCGCCGCCTCGTGACAACTGCATGAAATCTACCCTAAAACCCGCCGCCACGCCCTCGCCGACTCAACAAACCCTGCTTTTCCCCGCTGGAATTTCCCTAACTGACCCTCTCCCGGCGTCTGACCATGATCAATCGCTTTCCTACTTAGTCGGTGTAGGATGGAGTTTTGTTTATACTTTTTTTCTTTTGTTAGCTTATCCTTTATCTTTAGAGAGATAGACAGAGAGACAAGCAGGTAGATAAATAGATAGACAGACAAACAGACAGATAGACGGACGTACAGACAGATAGACAGACACACAGACAGATAGTCAAAAAGGCAGACAGACACACAGACAGATAGTCAAAAAGGCAGACAGACAGACAGACAAATAGACAAAACGAGAGATGTATATATTCGTGTTTGCCTGCGTGCCCCCCCCCCCCCTCTAGCAATATTCCCTCCTAGGCATCAGCTCGAAGTGACTCAACGCCCCTGACGTCGAGATATCCAGCCAGTGAGTGACACATCCACACATAATTCAGCGGAGTGCGAATCTCCCAGACAGGCTCTGCCGTGTTGAAACTTCACCGATGAAATTCTAGTCATAACTGGATTGAAACATAAACTTTATACCCGAAGAGCTCGACGAAGCGTAAAATGTATATATGCTAATTCAATATTTTCATATTAAAGTGCCAAGGAACTGTAGCCACACACTTTTACGAGAGTAAATTTCCAGAACTCATCACTATGGTAAATGAAAATATACACAGTATATTTTGAATAGATAGATAAATAAATGAATAAAAAAGAAAGGAAAAAATATGTATAAAGAGGCATGGAGATAAATAGATGTGTATACACGGTATATATATATATATATATATATATATATATATATATATATATATATATATATATATATATTTATATATATATATAATGTATATATATATATATATATATATATATATATATATAATATATATAAATATATATATATATATATATATATATATATATATATATATATATATACATATATACACGTGTGTGTGTATACATACATAAATACATATATATATATATATACATATATATACACACATGTACCACACGCTTACACACGCATATGCATGTATATAATGCAACTTTCCGGAATATGAACTTACGAAGAAACTCTTATGTAAACACAAGCCCCGAAAACAAATGTAGTAAAATTAGCTATACACATATATCTGACAGGTTTAATACAGCATGAACTTACTATTAAATATCCTGAGACTGAGGACTTCTGGACAGCTTTGTGATATTGTGGTAAATATGCAGTCTGTCACTCAGTGTTAATGAATTGAAATGGAGAAAAAGATATAAAAAAATCCTTTTCAAACAGTTTACGAAAATAACAGAATAATCAAAGAAGGGGAAATACTGCAAGTAATGTTTTTTTCACGTAATCTGTTAATACCATTCGTCATGATTAAATTTTTTACTCTCTGAATTTCTCCGTATGTAGGTGAGTAGATTGACCTAAACATTAAATAATCTACCGGGACATGAATCGCAATAAAGGCCATTTAAGAGAAAACATGCACGAAAATGAGAAAAGGAAAGGAATCATGCAGGAAGAAAAGGGAGGGAAAAGTGTCGGGGAGGCGTTCCAACCTGCGCCAACCGGTCTCAGGTGTTCGAGTGTGTCCAAGGCGGCGGCAGCAACCTTTCTCTCGTCGCTCCAGTTTCGGTTCTCAGTCTCTTCTCAGTCTTCACAGCAGGCGGATTGGATTAGAACCTGCTGCAACATGTTCGCCAAA